GTCCTTGAGTGGCCCGATACAGCCTGTGGTCTTAGGGACCCACCAATTCTTCAAAGGATTATTCAAGGTCTGTCTTGTTGGGGCCCTCTTTTCATGGCACTGTCCGCATTCTTCTAACTGTAGAAACACAAACAAAAGGACAGCTGATCATTCTGGATTGTGGTGTCTTGGGAGGGCTGTCGGTCTTCGGGTGTTGTGATTTGGGGGCTCACGGGCTTCTAGGGCTTCGTTGTTTCTGGGCGCCCAGGTTGCCCGCACATTGGCTTGGAGCCCCCAAAGGCTCCAAGGACCAGCGCCATCTGAGCCCATTGTGGTTCGTTGTGGTGGGTCCACTATTATTCTAATACAAGTATTTACTATTCTTATCCATGACTTCGCTGTGTTGGTTAGAGGCCCCACGGTTCTCAGGGGATGAGGGACAACTTGCTTGCATGGGGAAGTCTTGATTATTTTCCGTCTCCTCCTTTTAACTGAAACATGGGTCACCGGCCCCCCTATTGGGTGCCGAGTCTTTTGTTGGTTTTGGTATTGCTCTTTGAAGAGAGAGAGAGAGAGAGAGAGAGAGAGTGTGTGTGTGTGTGTGAGAGTGGGTGAGTGAGTGAGTGAGTGAGCGAGTGGGTGGAGTAAGTGGGTGCAGTGTGTGAGTGAATGAGTGAGTGAGTGTGGAGAGAGAGAGAGAGAGAGAGAGAGAGAGGGGGGGAAAAGGAAGAGGTAGAGTTAGAGGTATACGTGTAAATACAGATACACAAATTCACTGCCTAACGCTCGAGGCTGGCAGTCGTTCAGAATTGAAGGTCTCTTTGCTTCCTGCCTTCAACCACCATGGTCAGCCTAATTTCACGTCAGCGTTGCTGTTCCCGTAGCACTGCCCTTTTTAAGCCCAATGCTATCCCTCTCTAGCCTTGCACGCCGTCCGCAACTCTTCGGCAGCAATTCCGAATTCATCACCGAGGTCCGCCACAGGTGTGTGAACAAATCAGACCACATGAATCCCGACACCAACTAAAGCTCTCACATGGGCGCTTCCACGAGAAGGACCCTCCGCCCCCCCCTGTACACCCCTTGATGCTGGGACCTTTCTTGCGCAGCTGTTCTTACAAGGGGACCCTTCTGTTGAAAACGCGAAGCCCTATATCTTACATATCCCCATGCTCCCTATATGTCCCTACATGCCCTTGGGAGAGACAACAAAAACACCACATACACGCAGACTCTGATGCCACACGGTTTACCCAAGCAACACCGACTAATGTAGAGGCCTAAACGTCTCAATTAAGGGCTTAGGGTAAAATGCTTAAAATATGTCTTCGGGACATGTTTTATAGTGCTTCTACAAGGCTCAAAAAAGAGATATTAGCGTTTGGGGCCTAATGCTTTGAAGATGGCTTTGGGGCGTATGATGCTATGGTAAGCATTCTGACGTTGTAAGGGGACAGCATTAAACACAGCGCAGGCTTCAATAGTAAAGTACACGCCAAGCTCTGTCCGCCTTCTGTCGGCCACCGGATTCAATGTCAATGCCCATCTTCCTTGATTACTTGGAGGGTCAGGGGGACTTAGTAAGTAGGCTAATAACCCCCAAGGCCCATATAGTAACTCTAGATCTTTGTAACCTGCTTACTAAGTCCCCATGACCCTCCAAGTATGGCTTCACGCCCCAGGTCATTCTGTTAGGGTTTAGCTCGGAGAATCTTTTGACTTAATAAGTCTACCTACTATCCCTGATAACCCCTATTCTAAGCCCTATAGCGCAAGCTACTAAATAGACTTACTAAGTCCAGGGATCGTCCAAGAGGGGGTTTTGGGAATTGGGGACCTGAGCAATGTAAAACGTAAAGCTTCAATTTTACAGGGGCCAGGTGCGGAATGTGTGCAGACTGACCCCGGAGAGTCAAATATGAAAATGACTATCAACTGAGGAAGTTATGACAAGAGTTACACGCATCCCGTATATGATCGAGGGCGTGCTGCATTTAAAGGGGTCAGGAATCCACATATGAATAAACAACTATATGTTTCTCTTCTTCGACCCGAGGTCTCGGTGCCTGCCGATATACAGACAATGGTAAGGAGATATATGCAACAGAGGTTGGTGGATTCTGTGCTGAATCGGTTTTCCACCATCCTGCTGTAACACGGGGCCCTGAACCCTATACATCTGCATCGAACCCTGTATCTATATTGCGTATGTGTACATATCTGTATATATATATATACATGTGCATGTAGGGGCCCAACAGCCCTGAGCCCTAAGCCCAATATCACCCCCCCACACAATTCCCAAACAAACTTGGAAGGTCAGGGGGGACTTTGTAAGTAGGTCAAGAATTGGGATACTTGGGCTTTATTATGTGGCTAATGGACCCTTAAAGCCCTGGCTTAGGGCTCACTACCTACGCCCCAAAATGCCAAAAGACTTGGAGGGTTAGGGGGACTTGATCAGAAGGTTTATGATTGTGATAACTGGGGCAATTACTGACATGGCTTCTAGTGGTTACAAGTAGCACTTACAAAGTCCTCCCAACCCTAAACCCCAAGCCCCATACCCTAAATACTACTATAATGGTTCTTTCTTTTCCGTTACCATCAAGTCCCCCTTACCCTCCAAGTATACCTACTAAGTTCCTAAACCGTGAATCCCTGAACCCTGAAATCTAAACCCTAAACCTTAAACCTCAAACCCTAAAACCCTACACCCTAAACCCCTGAACCCTAAACCCTTTAACCCTTTTTGCAACCGGGCTGAGCATAAACCCTTTAACCCTAAACCCTGAAACCCTAAACCCTAACACCCTAAATCTTCCAAGAAAATGCGGCTCGGTTGGCTCGAAGTGGTGGCGAAGGTCGCAGGGGGCGGCTAGAAACCGTGGACCGAATGGCTGAGGGTTTGAGGGTTTGTCGTTCAGGATTTAGACCGCATGGTTGAGGGTTTTAGGGTTTACGGTTTAGGGTTGGAGATGTAGGATTAAGATTTCAGGGTTGAGGGCTTGGGATTTGCGGGCTTAGGGCTTCGGATTTGAGGGTTTCGGGTTTAGGCTTTGGGGTTGATGGGTTAGGATTGTTCAAAGAGGGGGGCCGTCAGGGACTTCAGCGACATGAGCGACATGAGGGGACTACAAGAAGACTATAGCCGTCCCCTCACATCTTGCGGAAAGGAATTATTTTGGGACGCCCCCATGTAGGCCTATAGGGTTCAAGGTTTCGGGCTTGTGATACAGACTTCAGGATTAAACTGGGTTGCTGTTAAGGAACTTAAATCTACCATCATAAGGAAACCTCATAAATTACTATATGCCCATATTAAGGTAGCTTATTTCCAACTTCCTTAACAGCAACCTCGTAAAGGTGTGCAGGTACCCGAGTTTGGGTTTTGAAAAATGGGCATGTGGCTTATCAGGACTGACCTGCCAGCGGGTTTAGGGTTCAGGGTTGGAGGTTTAGATTGCAGGTGCCCTTGCCAAACTAATATGGATGCCCAACATTGGCTCAGCGAAGACGACTGCCCTTTCAACCTGGACCCGTATGAAAGTAGCACTCCTCTATACATACATGAGCTATACTCTAGTATCCCCCTTAATAACCCATTTGATACTCCCTATATAACCCCCTATGTAACCCTCTATACAACCCCGTTTAAGGGCCTTAGAAATGTGGCACTATAGCACATAATGGTGGATATCAAAATTGACATGATCTCAGGCAAGTACCCTCAAACTTGGGACTCATGGACTTCTGGAGCTCTGCATCGCAGACTCTACAGAACCAACCCTCCTTTGCAGGGGACTCATCAGGCAACCTAAATCCTAAGACCAAAGCCATACACCCTACAAATCCTAGTTGAAAGCTTGGAACCTGGGTGCAGCTGGGAGCGCTTGCCACCCGAAAGCGTACATATTCTCTGTTTATCATGCTGCGAAACCCGAAGGTCACGAAGGGCCACAAACCGAAATCCGAAGCTCCTAGACCCTTACAGAAAGATAAAGTACCAACATACCAAACCATTTGATACAAATCACGATTCTATGCTAGGTACATTGGTTACTCAAGGTGAATTACAAGTGTACTAATGAAGGCCCACAGCCCCTTAGCCACCTGGGGGCTCAGGGCTTCTAAAGGGGGAGTCGGGAAGTGGATCCCTAAGTTTCAATTCTCATATAATTGCCTACAACCGTTTCTGGTCTCCCAGCCCTACCCCTTAAACCCCCGAAGCCCAGAAACAAAATCCCGAAAACCCCAATATACCTCTAAGACTCCCATAGCAGCAGCCCCAAACCCGTGAACTCAAACGCTTTTTCAGGCCCCTGGGAGAATCTAGAAAGTAGCTCCCCTGCAAAGACCCAAAGTCGCCCCTATATAAATCCTTATGGAATTTGTCGCAGGGTTCTTGGGAATCGAACTATTTGATCCTTTTGAAGGTCTGGGCTTTTGGAACCTAAACCCTAAACCCCTAAACCCTAAACCCTAAACCCCTAAACCCCTAAACCCGAGCCCCGCCATGCCCAGAGTCTGTAGTATGCTTCCAAGGCATGGCCCAAGCTTTGGGGTTTAGGGTGGCGAAGGAAGGCTTCATCAACGGTCTCTCATTCCCAAAGCGTAACGCCTAAAGTGGTAACAGACATCTTTTTTAAAAAGTACAAAGCTAAACACTAAACCCCAAACTGAACACCCTAAACCTAGACCCAGTCTTAAACCAGCAATAGCTACCCTAGATCTCTAAGCGGTCTAGGGTTTAGGGTTATAAGCCCTGAACCAGCAAGAAAACGGTTTAACGCGTGGTTTCCGTTTGTTTTCCCTTCCTGAACCCAACAATACCCTAAACCCTATACCCGGAACCACCTCCCAAAACCGTAAACCCCAAATCCTGAAAGCTAAGTCGTAAACCCTAAATCCTGAACCCCAAGCCAATAACCCCAAACCCTGAACCCTAAGCCCTAAACCCTAAACCCTAAACCCTAAATGTTGAATCCTGAAACCTAAGCCGAAAACCCTGATCTGCACGCCTCCGCTTGAGACCTCCGCCTTGGACACCTGCTTCTCTAACCTGAGCTTGGAGGTTCATTGTACTTATAACCTACTTAGTAACTGTAGTTATAACCCAATTATATCTAGGGTAACTGTGGTTTATGGGATTCATAATTGGGTTATGAATTAATTGCTTAAGTGAATTGGTTGATTGATTGATTGATTTAATGTACTATTGAATTCATCAAGTTAATGAACTAACTTAAATACGTAATTTTGTAACATAATTCATTAATCAAACAGCCAGTAAACAAATTAATGTGTTATTCAATGAAAAATGAAATCCTAGGAAATCAAGGGGATCCGAAATATCGTTTATTCATTATCATAGACCCCCTAATGACCTCAACCCCCCCCCCCCTCCCGCATATTCATTATTAGGTGGCCCCTTTTAAAGGAGTAGTCTTCCCATTTTAGAAATACTCTTCAGGACTTTAAACCACTAAATTTATGAATTAATATTTTGGGGGTGCTGTAATATTTGGGGAAGGGGTTAATGGGTGGGTTATATAAGTAATAGGTTTATATAGGTAGTAGGACTTAAAGACTACCATGGGACCATGCACTCCACCTCCCGCCCCATTTTCTCACGCTTCCCCAAACAAGGCCTGAACCTGCCTCAAAGAAGCCAACAAAAGGCTGTTTTTGAGCTCCATTTTGGAGGTAAAGGACAGAGTATAGGATCCCATAATCGTAGAAATAGTCACTGAGGCTGCTTCTCAGACTTATTCTAGGTTGTTCAGCAAATGACTTTCAATATGCATGTGGGGGGGGTGCTCTCAAGGAGCCTCAGTGTTCAGAGATATGGGTTGCTATGCGCGTAGCTCCGAAAGTGTTCAGGGGAACCTACTGTACCCTTATGCATGTCTCTATATACATAGTAAAGGCATGCCTACAACGTGTATGCACGAAAGCATGCATGCGCGTTAGATGGACCCACGCAGTAATGGTGACTATGAGGGATCATGGTAACTATAGAAGGGTCGTCTTATTCTATTCCGAGTTTACCAGTATTGAAGGGTAGCACAAATCGCGAAACCCACTTGAAATAGGTTTTTCTCATTCAGTGTGAGGCCCCCTGAACACCCCTAACCATGCCAAGAAGACAGTCCCACATACAGGGTCAGCTTAGAAAGGGCCCATATTTGGTAGTTTCCCAAAATAGGAGGAAGCCCCATGTAGACCCTAAAATACTATAGTCCTTATTATTGGGGCCCAAAAAGGTATCACAAATTTTCGGAAACCCCATTTAGAAAACATCGCAAGTTTCAACCCAAGTTTCTTAAACCCTAATCCCTAAACTGTATAATATGGCTTATTAAAGAGCATAATACTAGGACTTCACAGGAGAGGGGCGGGAGGAATTGTACCTGAGGACTGGGCGGCGATTTCGCAGGAAGACGGAAGGGGGCCTTGAGCAATAAAAGGATTTTGGTAACCCCAACCCCAGAATGAGGACCCTATGACTATCATATGATGGCTATAGGGTCCGAATTCTGGGGGTTCGGGTTACCATAATCTTTTTAGAATTGAAGCAGGCTTGATTCTTTGTTGCGCGGGATTTCTCTTTGCGATTTGGGTGCCCTGTGTCAAACTTTGGGCATGTCTTTGGGCTCTCTAAATTTTGGAATCTACCACATGGAGTGTGTGCTCCTGATCGAAGCGTGAAAGGCTAAACCCCAATGCCGATGTAAGCTTCAGTCGGTTTAGGGTTGTAAGCGTGCCGGGTCGAATCAAGCTCGGGTGTGCTTGGAGGCTTGCGTGACTTAGTAAGTTTGCTTTTTAGTAGTCGTTTAGGATTTTTGATTATGGGGCTTACAACCATAGGGGTTATTGAATTAATGGGGATTGTAGGTAGGCTTACTAAGGCAAAAGGTCATCGAAGTGGGAGTTTGGGGTTGGTGGCTTGGAGCATTGCCTTCCCCCGAGCCAACATGCAATTGAAAAAACCGGCACCGGTCCGCTTCCTGAGCGTTGGAACACTGGAGACACCTGTGAGCTATAGTCGAACTCCTAGAACCCTCCATAATAACCCCTACAATACTTCTTTATATGATCCCCTGTATAACCCCCTTTAAGGGTTTCAGACCATAGCTCATGTTAATTTGGGGCAGGGCACAGGAGATTTAGGGGTGAGGCCTTCATCGTGCCTGCTAACCATACTGTCTTAGCTAAAGTATTTAGCATACCCCAAACCTATGCCCATGCCCCTTAACCTCAAAGGGTGCCCATGGGAACTTTTGCATACCCATTGAGTTCTTGTAGGAGGTATGCCTCCGGGTATGTTGAATGTTTCTTAGGAAAATGCCTCTAAAACCCTAAACCCTAAATCCATGCCTCAATTCAAAATGAGCACCCCTAAGCCCCGCAGACGCCCGCAACTAGAAGGGATTTCTCAAAGCCGGGGGCCGGGGGCCCGTTAAAAGCCCTGGCAATCGAAACATCGTAACAAAGGAAATGTGGCGGGTGAAGAGAGAGAGAGAGCGAGAGAAACGAGAGAGGGAGGGAGGGAGGGAGGGAGAGGGAGAGGATTACACTCAAAACCCTAAAGAAAACTATAGTAGTTTCCATTTTCTTTTCCATTGTCCCTATATAACCCCAATATACTATAGTAGTTTCCATGGGAGAGAGAGAGAAAGAAAGAGGGCGGGGAGGTAGGGAGCAGTTTTGATCTGAGCTTCACACCATGGCGCTGCCAATTCCCGACTTCCCGGTGACCTGAAGGCTTCTGCCATGAGGTTTAAGTTTATGGTTGGGGGTTCAGGGATTAGGAATTGAAGGTTTAGGCGTTTAGGGTTCAGGGTCTGGGGTTTAGGGTTAGGCCATGCTTCGACGTGACATTCGGCGTGCAGAGCTAGCATCTCGGAGCATTTAGGAATTATGCCCGGTATGCATTGTAGGGTCCACTCACGAAAGTTCACGAACTATGATCACAGCAGTTAGCGCTGGAAGCCTGCCGCAGGCATACTCATGAGAACAACTGCCCAAGCATTGTGTGAGCATTCCCCGCTGTTCTCCTTAAAACATCATGCACGGTTCGATAACATCTAACATCTTCTTAACCGTTGCAGGGGGCACTAGCCATCAATGGCAATGCCTATTCTGCCTTTGTGGTCATTTACCAACAATGAAAGGTGCCATCAAGAGCATTCTCAGGTTCATCAGCAACCTCACATCAGACGGAGCATGTGGGACAGTTGTGGTTGTTGGCAAGCCGCTTGAGCTGTTTGCGCCGCTTTTTTTGAACGAAGCAGCTGACTACAAAATCCAGCTTGCGCAGGAGATGTGAGGCGTAGCGTAGGGCTTAGGGCTTGTGGCCGCCTCCCAATAGACAGTTCTGAACGCGCCCCTGGTCGCCCAATTCTTCCGGATGTTTTGACATGAAGCATTTGAGGTCAACTTGCGGAGTTGGATTTGCTTATTCACAGGAATGTCACATGCGAAAGGATCGGGACATGCAGCTTCACAGGGCTTCAACCATTGCGGCTTAGCTATCCCGTGAAGTGCTGAGAATCTCTCGGAATGCTGTATCAGCGTTTGTGTTTCAGGTTTTGCTGAACTGCAAGCCCTTTAGAGGGGTCTCCCCATTTGCTGGACACATGTGCTACACACCCCCCAAACCCTGAAGCCTAACTCTTAAACCCTAGGCCAACCTCCGAGGCCCTCAAGCACCACTGGTCTCACGGTCTAATTGAGGTGTAGGGTTCAGGAATCCTTGGGCTCGAGAGTTTTGAGGTTAAGTGGTTTGGGGCTTACTGGCGCAGGCCATTGTTGGATATAGGTCATGTTGATACTAAAGCCCGATACGTAACATGAACATGTTTTGGGCTTTGCGATGCTTGAACCCAATACAGAAAGCACGACTATGGTTTTCTAAACCCTAAACCCCCTACCCCAAACAGAATCCCCAGTATCGGGTAGATGAGCGAGGGACCTCGGGAACATGTCTTCAGTTTGCCATGCGGTTGATGGAGGAAATCTTGCACCACTTAGTGTCCAGAATGTGCTATATATACGTTATCATTGTAGCCAGACTGGATGGTGCAAGATTCTCTGCCACCCACCCTAACACCCTAACACCCTAAACCCCAATCTCTGAAAACCAAAACCATACACCCTAAAACCCCACACCCTAGACTCTAAAGCCCTATGCTCTAAAACTCTAAGCCCTATAGCGCAAAGCAAATGTTATCTTCACTATCTTCTTTTGGATCTGGTCTCGCTCTTCTCTGCTGCGCAGCTCCCTTGGCTAAGCCTCAAACGAAAGCATTGCTGCTACAAAAATACCTCCAAGACTACATAGTACACTTGATTACCGCAACTCCCAAGGTGTAAGTTGTAAGGCACCTAGGTTTAGGCAGGACTTTTGGCGTAAAAGGCATCCTCTGCACCCTCTTTGACCATTAACCCACACCCTGAATGCAACGGCCAAAGACAGCGCAGGAGTTTCCATTGGCGGCAGCTTACAAAAGGTGTTGGTAACGGCTACATATATAGGTCACCCCTGAACCCTAAGCCCCGAGCCAGAAATCCTAAAACCTAAATCGCTTCAAATGGGTATACGGCTTTAGCAAGGACATCTCTCGGGCATTCACCTCCTGTACTCACCTTAGACACTGGCTCCAAATCCCAAGCCTGCAGTCATAGAAGAGACCGGGGCTTAGGACTCAGGGTTTCGGCTTTAAGGTTTATAGGGCTTACTTAAGGCTTGTAGGATTCAGGGTTCGGCCCACTCAGCAAAACCCCCAGAAAGAGATCCCCGATTTTTGACAAAACACCCAAGCCATAAAGCGGTTCAGAGTTTAGGGCTCGTCTTACATATGCCCGGCATTCATGGAAACATGTAACCCCCTCCCCCCTAGCAAAAACGCCGCCAATAAATGATCTGTTCTTTTTTTACATTATCGCTCATTGCGAATATTTATGTTTAGAGGGTGGTAGGTTGTCCCTAAACCCTAAAACCTAAGACCTAAACTCCACACTGTAAACCAAAATCCTAAGCCCTGAACCCCTAAACCCTAAACTCGAGCACCTCAAGCTTAAATCCTAAATCCCTCAAGCCTAAAACCTTAAATGGCAGGGACTGAATCTCATGTTGACTCAGCCTGCGCCCATGTAGGGAACACTTTCGTAGCATGCTTTGGAGCCTCATGCGGTGTAGGGTTCAGGGTTTAGGGTTTAGGGTGTAGGGTTTAGGGTTTGGCTCTGTGCATGAAGAGGGAATATGGGAATATATTGGGATTCTATTCCCTGTTCCCTACTAAGAACCAGTCAGGTTTTGACCTACCGTCCCTCAGGAAACTACACGAGAACCCAAAATGCTAATTAAGCTCAAAACCTTAAGGTTTATAGGGTGTGGTGTTCAGGTCTTGCGATGGAAGTCCAGTCTAGGCGTGGGTTTTGGGATGTTGGTCAGTCTCAACCATCTTACCTCGGGACTCGGGATCTGACGTCTCAAAGGGTACAGAATTCTGGGTGTAGCAGGGTAATTTTTTAAAAAATAGATTCCCAATTTAAGGCAATTTTGGGACTATTCCCTATATCAGCCACCATTTAGGGTGAGGTCAGCTGAGGTCGCTTTAACTTGCCCAAGGGTTTAGACCATATACATTGAACGCTACAAACCGATTACGGGCAATCATTCGAGGTACCTTTGGGGCTGATTGTTACTACTTGCTAGCTCTGCGCGTGGAACCGTTTGCCTGGGGTAAACGCAAAGGGATGGCAGAACATCAAGCAGAATTGAAATGGGGTATTGAAGTACAAATGACCGCTTGTTATCTATACCTAAGGGCTCCTATGTAGTTCCTATCGGATTTGTTATGTTTTTATTTGGGCGCTACAATAGACTACCCATTGTTGAGCCGCAGGCAATGATAAGAACATGCACGCTGCCCGATCTAACCTGGAAGCCCAAAAAGGTCCCGACGCAGACTTGCGTGGTGTAGAAGGCAGCTATACCTGGACCCCAAAGTAAATCAAAGATTGGCCCAGAACCCCTAAAACTAGCCCAGAAGGCGATTACTCTACAGACTGCTGACTTCCCTATAATCCCTATACGACTTTATATACTCCCTATATATTCCCAATATAGCAATATGTTCCCCATAAGGTGGTGGCCCTTAAGGGGTCCTCTTAAAGACTCTATAAGGACTATGACGAAACTCTATCCCTAGACCCTTCATAATACTACCAATAATAATCATCGTCTCCACTTTTCCATTCTGTAATTCCTTGCTGACCAGAGGTAAGCAAACCCCTACACCGCTAGCCAGTTTACATTTCATCTTTCATGGTGTTTTCGCTTCTCCGTCTGCAACGATGTCTGTACTCTGTACACATCTCTGCATGGTACAAGTCCCTCCCTTCCTGAAACCCTTAACCCTAAACCCTAAACCTTGATCCCTAATCCCTAAACCCGGTCAGTAGCCTAAACCCTAAAACCCTATCAGTAGCCTAAACCCTGAACCATATATGTCCTTTAAACCCTAGACCCTAAAAACCCAAACGCCTAAATATAATCCGTAACCGCAGAAACTGCCTAAACTCCCCAAGTACGCTCTATAGACCCTAAGTATCCACAAATAGGATCTATATAGACCCTATTTTGGGGTAATTGGCGGGTCTAGGTCCCAAAGGGTCCATGTAGGTATATGGTATATACTTAGGGCCCAAAGGGGTTCCCATATACTTACTTTTAAGGCCCAAGTATATCCCATATACCTACATAGACCCTTTGGGGGTGAATCCTACAGCCGGCCTGCGTTGCCTCTGCTGATGCTGCGACGGGCCCCGGCTCGGCCCCCAGTGCCTGGGCTTTAGGGTTTAGGGTTTAGGGTTTAGGGTTTAGGGGGATTAGGGTTTAGGGATTAGGTTTAGGGAGTTTAAGGGTTCAGGGTTTAAGGGTTTAGGGTTTAGGGTTTAGGGATTAGGGTTTAGGGATTAGGTTTAGGGATGAGGGTTCAGGGTGGAGGGGTTGAGGTTTACGGTTTAGGGATGAGGCGTTTGGGATTGGGAAGTTACGTTGGCCGTGCGGCAAACGTAGGATCCGTATGAGATCCATGGGGGAAAATCTTCAACTTCCCAAAGGACGGGGCTAAGGGCTGACTTAAGTTACGGTGTGGGGCTTCTAGAAGTTCTGTAGGGACGATGTCCAGAGCTGAGAGCGACTTTTGACCGGTTCTTTTTTCAACTTTATTAAGGATTTGAGCCCTGCCCTCTACAATTTGTCATGTATCATGCGCTGGAGGGTTTAGAGTATGAGGGTTTAGGGTTTGGAGGTTGGGGTGGCTAGTTCAGGGGCGGAGCACGGTGAGTTTGATTTGCTAGTGATAGTGACGGAATTTTACAAAGGGGTGGGTTTAGGGTTTAGGGACTGTTTCTAAAGGGACTTTAATGGGAACCCCAAGCAGGGAACCCCAAGAATGTAGGAATATAATAGAATAGAAGGACCCTGGTAGGTATGTTCCTATTATATTCCTACTATATTCTTGGGGTTCCCTGTTTGGGGTTTCCGTTAAAGTCCCTTTAGTTGCGGTGGGTGTAAGATTCCAAGGTTTGAGGTTTGATGGCTTCGGGCGTCATCCGCTCAAGAGAGCCCATGTGCGGTGCCTTCAAAATCATGGTATCGTGGAGATATTTGGGAGCTAGGTACGGTAATAATCCATGTAACATCATGTAACAACAGAACTCTGGTTTCGAGAAACTCTCAAAGCAAGCTCGGTAAAAATATCTTGAATTGGACAAAGGCGGACTACAAAACTTAGGGATCTAGGAGGATGAAGATTTCAGGGGTTTAGAGTGTATGGTTCCGGTCTTTAAGGCTCTAGGGGCAGGGGCTTGGAAGAGCTGCAGGTGTTGGTGCAGGCTTCGAGCAAGGGGCCAGTCCCCCTTAAGTAGATAGAATATGGCTTGGGGTATCCTATAATAAGACCCTCATATACCCCATATTCTATTTACTTAAGGGTGACTACAACTGTTTTTATGGTCGAACCATAGCAGCATTATAGCTTTCGGATTAGGCAAGCTTGTAAGCTTAGCTCGGCCAAAGCACCACAGATGCCTCATACAGTGGTTGGAGGACGTTTTGAACCACTTTGTATACGCTGTACCCCAACACTTGCCAGGGGTCAGAAGTGGTGCACAATCTCCTCCAGCCACCACACCACTTCGAAGCGCAAGGATCTCTATCACCAGTTCCAGGCAAGGACCAACAGACTTGAGACACCCCAAGTTTCAGAAGTGGTTGCGGGCCCCCGCTTTATTTAGAGAAAAACTGGAACTTCAGAAACACAAACAGCAATGGTGTACATTTTAGGGGGAGAGCGTGCGCCTCAATCCCAAACCCCACAGGAGGAAGTCTAGGCCGAAAGAAGAACGAATGTAAAAGCAGGGCTTGTAAGCAGGGTTTTAGAGTGTACACTCTTTCTCAACGGCACATACCGTATAACCCCCTACCCAACTGCTCAGAAAATGGGTGCCCTATGTGATGTCGCGCCTGTGGCGCTGCCGACGGAACAGCCGCGGCTTCTGCCTTGACAGCAGCGCCCAGGGCAGGGTCTTCCTTACAGGCCTAAATACTTAGGAATTTGCTTTCGGGTATCCTTTACGGTCTGGGACCCCGTGGTACCCAAATTGAGGAATCTGCCCGGAGCACGGGGCCCGTTAGGGGCTGAAGCATCCAGAGTCTGGATGCTCCAAGAATTCACAAAGCACAGTTTAAAAGCATTGGGTGCGGATTGGGGCCAAGGCTTGCGTGCTAAAGGTGCATTATTTGCAAGCACTTAGGATGTTCTATACCCACGGACCTTGGAAAGCAGCAACTACAAAAGGACTGTCCGTTTCAAAGTAAGCCACATATGACGAGGCATGCTTGTTCAAGGCAGAGAAACCTCTTTTGGGCCACTACAATGATATGACCTCGTACATACACAAGTATGCACCTATATACATACATACACACGTTGAAAGGCTCTCATTCTGTAGCCCCTTGCAGCATGCGGCGCTTAGGCCCCTGCCCCTGCCGTTGGCGGCTGTACCGGCGCTGCTGCAGCCACAATTTGCGATGATGCTGCCTCCTTCACAGCAATATATGGATTTGCTCTTAGGAAGCTTTGAAGGGTTGCTGCTAAGGAATTTCGGTTAGGTTGCCAATGAAGACAGCCAATTGGAAAAGAAAAGGAAGCTGCAGTTATACAGTTTTACAAGGGTCATACAAGGGATTACGAAGCCCAAGTGACTGTCATGGCTAAACCTTGTTACTAATTAACGTTATATTCATCTTGTTGTAGCTTGATTCAGGTTCTCTGGCAGCAGCCCAGTACGGGAGGGGGGCTCTCAAATACAGATGCCCTGGCGACCCTCTAAAGCACGTTAGAGGGAAATATGCACACCATTTCGTTATTCGAATAGCTTGCCCTAATACCAGCACCCCCACAAGGCCCGCCCTTATGACAAACTTGTGACAAACCCGCCAGTATCGTACCAAGAAAAAATATGAACCAGGACCCTCCTCCTACCCTCTATTAGGGCCTAAGTACCCACTATTAGGAACCATATATCCCCAATTAAGGGTACAAGGAAGGTCCTGGAAGGGACATATCCATCATTAGGGAGGTGGGGGTTCAATGCTGGGGGATTAACCAGCAAGCTACATAGCAGCCTTTTGGTAAAGCCTGGCAAAGCCCACATTCCTGACCCTAAGGCCGCAACCCCTCGAGCCATAAACCGTTTAGTGTTTAGGGTTTAGGGTTTAGGGTTTAGGGTTCCACAAAGTCTAGACTGATGCACTCAAGCCTAAACCCCTATCAGCTAACCCCTTGATCCTTTTAAACCAAAAGCCCAAAACCTTACTGCACTGAGGTTACGGGTAAAGCATCTTTTCCCTTAGACACTTCTGAAAACCTCCTATGTAAGTACATTCGGGTCGGATATTTTCATCTACAATGGAGCCCTTGGGCAAATCCTAAACTCAAGATACCCTTATATATCAATCCCAATACATGCCCATATACCCCTATACCCCCTGAAAGATCTAGGATGTACTAGGTGGTGCCAAGTCCACAGATTCCTCTCATACCCCCTCCTGAACCCAAAAAAGGCCTAGACGAGCTCTAGATCACCTCTAACTCTAACTTGCCGTATTTATCTTGGGGAGGGTTAAGGTGGGGGATTGTGAAGGAGCCTTTGCCGGCATTTGTCCTCAGGCCTCAAATTATGCACAGTGCTACAGGGCGAAAGGGAGGCTTCAGTTGAAGCTCCCTTGCAGGAAGCTTTTTTGGGCAGTGAATGGTTGCTGGCATCGATAAGGGACCGAGTCCCCTTCCTCGTTCTGAAGCGCGCTGTGCTTCCCCACCCAAGAACAAGCTTGGTTGCCAGAAAAAAAAACGACGCAGATGTAGGCCTGCCGGCGCCCTGAAAACTCCAGGCTGCGGCGAAGCAACTTAAGGAGAGCTTCTAGCCAAGGAAGACTGCCGCCAAGTCGCGGTAGCGACGGTCCCACTGCGTTGTCTTCCAGACCATTTGCCATGTGGAGATTCTCTCGGACGTAGTTGAACCTTTGAATTTCCGCTAAAGCGCTGCTACGTGGAACCCTTGCTCCCATATAGGCTGACATGGAATGCCAAGCGCAGCCCTGCCAAGACACCGCCCTTCAACACGGGAGGCTCGGCAGGTTCCATATTCGATTAGGTTAGCAGGCATGACATAGGCGTTTCTCGAGGAAATACAAGGCAAAATCTACCCTCCGGGAAAGTCTGCATGTGTGTCGCTGTGGGCTCTTTTTTCAGTCCAAACCCTAGTTCCTGAAACCTCAAATCCCAAACGCTAGTAAGCGAAACCCCAAACCTTGAAACCCTAAACCGCGAAATCCCGAACCCCACAACAATAAACCCTCCTAAGCCTTAAACCTTCAACCCTGACCCTGAGGGTCCAAAGTACACACTCAACATATACAGCCAAAAAGTAACAATGAATATTCTGAGACCACAAAATTTAGAATTCTCGTATACTGGATCCTTAGGGTAAGGACCCTTGCAGCCCTCCCTAAACGCAACCCTAAACCCTAAAC